TTTAGGCTTTATCAGCAAAAGAGTGATGGTATTTTATAATAATATGAATTTTTCCAAAATGTTCAAAATAAAATATTTTAAATAGTATTGGATTTAATGTAAATTATAAAATTTATTAGTAATTAGTATGATTATTCTTTATTATAATCTGTTTGTAAAATGAATAAAAAGTATATTTATAAGATATGTCGTTTATAAAGACAATCACTCTTTTGTTGATAAAACCTAAAATACATGTCAGATTTGGATAATTCTTTATTTATATTGTACACAATTAGTTGCTCTAACTATTTTGTATTGGGACCATCTCAATATTTTTTACTTAAAATTTTCTCATAGGATTAGCATTACGAAAAGACTGTCTTTATTGAGCCATAAAATCTATACTATTGATTATATTTTAGTAATTCTTTTTCTATTGTGTGCAAAATTTATCCCTTTACAAATTACCCATGAGGACCATCTCTATATTTCTTATAGTATGACCTGTAATATGACCATTCCGAATCGTCCCATATTTTGTATACCACGTGACCAAGATATATTGACCGGCTATTCAAAAGATTCCGCGTATATGGCTCTATTGAATGCTTTTTACAAAATTAAATTACCTCGTCTAGTTTAAGAGATATCAAGAAAACCGCACGATTGGAATCACTTGACCGCCCCCTTATGTGTCGTGAAAATGTGTCAACACGTCCTGATGGAGGTTGTAGTCGGTCTGAATGTAATGGTATTGAACGCCAGCAATGCGTTGCTGGGCGTCAAGGGGTGCGCTCATTACGGTCAACACGTCGGTGATGTTTCGGGCGGTCAGTTGTTGGCCGTCTATCGCTCCGACAACGCTTCCCAGATATAGCCAACCTTTGATCTGATCCATGTCTCGATATCTTGGATTAAATCTCAAGCTCATGTCAATCTCCATTGGGATTAAGATTGTTTGCTTAAAATATTGTATTTTTGTTTCACTATAATGAAAACAGTATTTTCAATATTTTAATATTAAATATATCCGATTTTAACTAAATTCAATTTTGGAATATATTTTTTACAGCACAAGTAAAATGCCAGAATCGTGGCCAGATTGTATTTTGCATTTAATACGAAACGCAAACGTTTGATTTAACAATAGTATTATATAAACCCTTGTATTAAATTAATCGCTATAATTAATATTTAATATAAATAGTAACTAATTGTAATAATAAATATAAATCACCTATTTGTACATTACTTAACAAGTATTATTTGCATATCTTTATTATTAATATTTTAAGCAATATGCAAGTAAATTATTAATTAAACCATTAATATCATCACTTTATTTAATCCCAAAATACATTGGAGGGATAGAACTCGTGATCAGAATATTTGTGAACAATCGATAGTTTAGTTAAAATTACTTTATTTAAAAATATTAATTTATATTATTATTAGTCTTGAGTTTGTTGTGCTCTGAATGAAAGCCCAAACTTCACTGACTCTGGCTATGGTTTGGCTCGTTTTATATACTGTATATTCAATTAGATAACTATAGAATACGTAAACAATAACTACTTTTCGATTATGAATACTATCGGAAATGTTGGTTTATTATAATTTATAATAAATTCAAAATTATAATTATTTTGTCTTTTAATTTTGTAAAATTAATGACAAAATTGTATATTTTTCATGTATTTAATTGATTTGCTCAAAGCATGTGAAAATATGTGCTAACATTCAAAATATGTAATTAATAATTACTAATTATATGTAGTTTGTTATTTTTAAAATTTCATGTTTTATTGCGTTTTATATGTTGTAACAGAAATCTTTCAACACTAGTTATAGCAAATAATTTAGAAACAGAAAATTACTTTTTGTTGGAAAGTATTTCACATTTCATACGCAATGCTTACGTTTGGTTTGGCCCATACAGTAATGTAAGTGCTATTCTGTGCACATATAAAGTGGTCTAATTTAGTATCAATATTTTAATTAATATTTATATAAATAATACTTAAATCAAGTTTGTATATTTATAACTTAAAATTAAACATCTTTAATAATTTGTAAAATGTTTCTAATATTCTAATAAATATTTTACACATTTCACAATTTTTCATTAAGTATTGGAGCATTTCATTTGATCCCAAGATATGGCACAACTGATGAAGCGCTTGAAGACATCACTCGAGACAACATATGACTTCATTAAAGACAACATTCAACGGGTATTAATTAACATATTGACTGTTTATTGAGTTTTAATTGTTTGTGTTTTATATTTTAGACAAAAAACAACCAAAATAACTCTTTTAGCCGTTTTAGTGATGATTTGACTCGAGTTTTATTATCTCATAACTTACCACTCGAAGATCGGTTTCGATTCGAATGTGTGTCCAAACAGTTCCAGAGGACTGTCTTCGAGAATGTTGTCGACATTAGTATTAATGACAGAGATATTGATAAAATAATAAATGAAAAGAACATTTATTTTCCAATATTTGTCACAATTGCCTTCAAGTGTCCAAACATTCAAACCATTTATTGTCAAGAAATAACTTCCAAATATGAAGAACATATTCCCGAAGTGTTGAACATATTTCAAGACAATTGCCTACATTTGCGGAACATTTACTGCAATTTATGTCAAAATAGTGACCAATTGATGCATTCATTCGGATCCTGTGTCAAACGAATTGGTGATATCTGTAGTTCGAAGAACCAATTACTCATTCATTGCCAGCGATTGACACAAATAAAAGCAAAGGATATATCGGATGTTTTCGACACCACTTCCGGACAACTATTTACAACAAAAAATTTACACACATTTGTGTTAAGCTATTATTCGGCTGAAGATAACTATATGTTGTCCGCATTCGTGGCCAAGAATCAGTCCCTCACATGTCTTCAAATTGATGATTTTCAGCTTAATCTTCAGAGGAATGTCACAAAATTTGGTCAACAATTGTCACGATTTACACAATTACGGGATTTGAGTCTCTATTTGCCGAATGTCTTTATTCATCATTCGGTGTCTTTGCGTACAATTGGCGTGAATTGCAAACAATTGAAACGATTGGCACTAATATTGAGGTCCAGGTCTAAAGTGATTACAAGCCATACATTGGATTCGTTGAGATATTTTCCACAATTAAAACGATTGAGTTTATCAATGAATACAGTTATTAATGCGAAATCTTTGCAAGCGTTGAAACAATGCCAGGGATTAACACATTTGTCACTTTATTTACCTTTAATTATAACTAATATATTTGAAAATAATGAACAATATTTGCTACGAATTCAAAACTTATTTATTTATTTCTATAAATACACGACAAACCCATCGTTTTTGAAAAGCATTACAAAATTACCGGCACTGAAAATACTGGTCATTAAAATCAATGGAAACAATGATCTCTCGGATAATGATTTGAATGCTGTGTTGTCTTCGAGTCCTAAACTTAAGACAATTGAAATCCGTGTAAAAAATGAGAAGAAGTTTTATTGTCGTGAGTATTGTTTTATTTTATTAGAATTAAAAATAGATTTTAATTCATTCACACAATCACTTCATTTGATCCCAAGATATGAAACAAGAGAAAACATCACTCGAGACCACAAACAACGATAATAAAGAGAACGTTGTTTTGTCTCACATTTTGCCACGATTTGATGGGAAGGACTCTTTTGGTCGTTTCAGCGATGATTTATTAAGAAATTTATTATCTCATAAACTTACACTTGAAGATCGGTTTCGATTGGAATGTGTGTCCAAACAGTTCCAGAGGAATGTGTTCTGTAGTGTTGTCGACGTCTCACTTAACGATCCATGCGTTATACATGCTTTAATAAATACTAGTAAGAATAACATTCAATTATTCATCAAAATTGCCAAAAAGTGTCCAAACATTCAAACCATTGACTGCAGAGGAATAATCTACAAATATGAAGAACACGTTTCCGAAGTATTGCATGTGTTTCGAGACAATTGCCGACATTTGAGGGAAATTCACTGCAATTTAAGTGAAAACAGTGACCAATGGATGCATAATTTTAGATCATTGGTAACAAGAATTGGCGATATCTCTAATGCGGGCAAACATTCATTCATTGATTGTCACAAATTATCAAAAATAAGAACAACACATTTGGCGAACGTCTTCGACACCACTTCTGGACAACTAATGGCGAAGAATTTGCATACATTTGAGTTTACGTACCGTTCGGCCGAAGATAACCACATGTTATCGGCATTTGTGGCCGAGAATCAGTCCCTCAAATGTCTTGTAGTGAACGACAATAGAGATAATCTTATGAAGAATTTCGCCCAAATTGGTCGGCAATTGTCACGACTAATGCAATTACGGGAACTCACTATAAATGTTCCGTGAAGTTCAATGTATTTAATTGGCTGGAATATCAAACAATTGAAACGATTTTCACTTGTATTGGGCTCGAAGTCCAATGTATACTCTAAATTACTAGCGCTCTCAACATCTTTCCCCCGATTAAAACGATTACATTTAACACTCTGTATGACCATTGATAGCACATCTTTGTTTCCGTTGAGAAACTGTGAGAAATTAACGCATTTAACACTTTATTTACGTACAACTGAATCGACTTTTTTTCAAATGGGTAATAATTATTTGCCACGAATTCAATACTTGTTTCTTAGTATTAGGAAAAACACAATTAACGCCGAATGTTTGTCACACATCTCAAGACTACCGGCGCTGCAAACGCTTGTCATTAAATCGCGTAAAACTAATGATCTCTCGGATAATGCTTTGAATGCTATGTTGTCTTCGAGTCCTAAACTCAAGACAATTGAAATCCGTGTAAACAATGAGAAGAAGTTTTATTGTCGTAAGAAAATATATTTTATTAGAAATATGATTACATTCTTAATCATTCATATAATCACTTAATTTAATCGATAGAAATGAAACGCAAGACAACATCACTCGAGACCAGAGATGACGGCAATGAAAACAACAGACAACAGGTATTTGACAAACAATTCACTGTTTATTAAATTTTAATTGTTTTTTAAACACTTTAGCCTAAAATCAAAACCAAGAATTCAATGAAAAAATTCGGTGATTTGTCTCAACTTCTGTGGCCTAAAGATGATTGAAATCTAAATCACAGAAATTCATTGTTATTTAAAATGTCCCCCTTTTTAGCCATTGATTTTTAATTTATTATTTTCATATACTTTTAGTCAAAATATTTATAACATTTTTGTCAAACATTTTATTTTAATTTGATTATTTACTAAAATATTATTCCCATAGGATTTACATTTCTTTTTTACCATTAATTCTATGCCATATGATTAATATGGTATCCCATCTTAATTCTATTAACCACATTTTTCATATATGAATTGTGGTTAAAAATTCAATACCAATTTCGTATGTTGTTTATGGAACAAAATATAACTGGAATCAATTCAAACTGATATTTATTGTTATTATTATTATAATTAATTTTCCAAAATAATAATTATAATTTTTAAAGGATGATTAGATTTTTGTTTTCTGTATTCTTAAGTAGTCCTAATTATAACTCATATTGTCATTCATTAAACTGTATTTAATTATTATTGTGTAATTTATAGTTTAATAACTTTTAATATAACTTTTAATGTTTTTATCTTATAAAATAATAATTGGTAATTACTGTACAATTATTTATAGTATACAGAATATTCAATATTCCAATTTTTATGTTATAAAATGTCATAAATATATTATAAATATACGATAAGTGTTAACTGTTTTGTAAATGTAATGTCAATTAATATACCTTATATTAAATAGTATTAATTAATTTATTTACTTATTATTCATTACAGATCTTTGTTTATATTTTATTAAAGAAATCTTAAACTAAAAAACATTGAAATCCGTAACAAAAACGGTTCAAAGTTTTATTGCCGTAAAAATGAATTAAATATTTTATTATTTATAAAATCAATGCAATTACCAAACAATGGTAATTAATAATATCTTTAATATATTTATTCTATGTAATTTTTTTATTCATGTATTCAGTATATTGTATTTGTTGAATTAATAAATCATATAATAACTAAATATTGAATTCATTAATTAAGATTTGAAAAGTTCAATTTCTATAATATGTAAAACTAATTTTCATATAACGACCAAAACATACATAAATGGGTGATAAATATAACCTACATTTTAGAGTAATTTTATTTTAATTTTCTAATTTATAATAAATTATAAATTGTTACAAATCTTTAAAACTCTCATTAAAAGTGTGGGCAAAAAGTGTTATAAAATATTATGAAAATAAGTCAATAGATGTCTCACTCGTCAACACTTTGTGTTGGCTTTGAATTCAATGTAAATATTATCACATGTTTTGCAGTGAATAACAAAAACATAATTATTTATTCATCACTTCATTTGATCCCAAGATATGATACAACAGATGAAACACTTGAAGACATCACTTGAGAGCGCAAATGATGGCAACAAAGACAACAAACAACAGGTATTTGACAAACAATTCACTGTTTATTGAGTTTTCATTGTTTTTGTCTCACATTTAGCCACAAATGTATGCGAAGAACTCAATGGACAGATTCGGTGATGATTTGTGTGCACTTATAGTGTCTTATCTCTCACTCGAAGATCGGTTTCGCTGCGAATGTGTGTCCAAACAGTTCCAGAGGACAGTCTTCGGGAGTGTTGTGGACATCACTCTTAACGAGAAGACTCTCTATAAGAAATTAAATTATCAAATATTAACGAGAATTGCTATAAAGTGTCCAAACATTCGCAGCATTGAAATGAAAGCATTGAAAAGCAAATATTCTGTGGAGAGTCTGAAAGTGTTGGACATATTTCGAGACAATTGCCGGCATTTGCGGCAAATTTACTATAATTTTCGCAAAATTATCGGTGAATTTGAATCACTTATAACTGGAATTAATTCCGCGAATGAAAACCAATCACTCGATCGTTGCCTACAATTGTCTCGATTACGGGTCAACTCGTTGTCCGACGTCTTCCACATCTCTTCTGCAGATGTTTCACAACAACTATTGGCTAAGAATTTGCATAAATTTTCATTCAATTATAAATCAAGTGATAATAATGTACTGTTGTCTGCATTTGTGGCACACAATCAGTCCCTCAAAAGTCTTGTAATTGTTATGTCAGATGAAAATCACGAAACTTTGACCGAAATGTGCGGACAATTGTCACGATTAACACAATTACGGGAATTGAATTTCAATATAACTATAATGAATGGCGAGAACTCATTGTCTGACTCTTTGCGCACAATTGGCTTAAACTGCAAACAATTGCAACGATTGACACTCGGATTGATGACAAGTTGTGAGCAAATAAGTGATCAGATATTGATTTCGTTGGCATTCTTTTCCCGATTAAAACGATTGGATTTAACACTCTTTGCGGCCATCGATCACAAGTCTTTGGAACCGTTGAAACTCTGCCACCGATTAACACATTTAACACTCTATTTACACAGTAATGACATTAATTTTGAACAAATTAGTGCCAAATATTTGCCACGAATTCAATACCTATCCATTATTAGCCCTAATCTTCTGATAAAGAATAAGGCTTTGAAGGCTATATCAAAACTACTGACTCTGAAATCACTGGTGATTGACTGCTATCGCACTAATGGTTTCAAAGACATTGATTTCTGGCATTTAGTGTCCAAAAGTCCTAAACTTAAAATTATTGAAATTCATGAAATAATTATCTCAAAATTTTATTGCCGTAAAAAATGCTTCAAATGTTTGAAAACTTATCAATGTTAACATTTTTGTTTGTTTTTTATAACAATGACACTAATTTATATTTTAATTATAAGTTAATTGAATGTAAATTAGAATCATTTAATAATTAAATTAAAGAAATAAAGTTACTTATAAATCATAAATTATAACATAATATTGATTATTACATTATTATTATTTTTAAAAATGGTTGTATTAGTTAATCATGTAATATATTATAATATGGATAATAATAAGTTTAAAGAATGTATAAAAACACAATTATTGTGGTATTAAAGGTCTTCATCGAACTCATCGTCAGGAAGCGGTGCCCTCTCGGCCTCAATCAGGTTTGCCTCGAGTTTCTTCTGCCACTCGGCAGTGATGACGACCTCCGGCGGCGCCAACAGTGGTTCCGCCACTAACTCCAGGTTCGGGTCTCCGATCAGCTTTCGGGCCAACCATAGGAACGGCTTCTCGAAGTTGTAATTACTTTTGGCGCTAATGTCGTAGTACTGGTCGACGGGGAGAGGGAAACACACGTCCGCTTAATTTACATCGTTATTAACTGCCACTTAATGGCAGTGTTTTTAATGGCAATCAGTTTATTAAGACAATTGTAATCACGTGTTCAGACACATCAAGTTAGTCATCACATCGCATAGTGTTGGACACCATCTCAACGGCACAATTGATCCGCCACTCAAACCATTACCTGTAGATTCTTCTTGCGGTGAAACACAATAGCCTTTGCCTTCACTTTCCTATCCTTGACGTCCACTTTATTGCCGCACAAAACAATGGGCACGTGTTCGCACACCCGGACCAGGTCTCTGTGCCAATTCGGCACATTCTTGTACGTCACCCGAGAGGTCACGTCAAACATTACGATCGCGCACTGGCCTATGGGTTAACACATGTGTGTCAGTCAATAAACAATGAGATAAGTGATGGACACCACACTCGCGGTAGTTGACCACACTATACCCTGAATATAATAGCCATCCCTTAAGCCGCCGAACTTCTCCTGACCGGCGGTGTCCCACACGTTGAACCGAATCGGACCGCGATTTGTGTAAAACACGAGTGGATGTACTTCTACTCCGAGTGTGGCTGAAGTGGCGGACAAATGAAACACAAATGAGACAATTAATGCTTGCGATCAAATGTTGTGTGAAATGTGTGGACACAATACATACCGATATATTTCTTCTCGAACTCTCCGGTCAGATGTCTCTTCACGAACGTAGTCTTACCGGTGCCGCCGTCGCCAACCAATACACACTGTCATCGGTGGCCAAGACATACATCGGGTGGTAATCATTCATTAATTGTCATTGAATTGATGTCCAATGATAGACATAACGATACATACCTTGAAAGTAGGCATACCTTCGCCTACAGTTCCTGTCGACTGCATTATAATGTAGTGTTAGTGTCGGTAATCGGGTATAAAAGTGGCCGCAATTGACAAATGAGTGGACAATTGTATGAAATTAATGAATAAATCGCCGACTTTTCTAATGTATTGAAAAACTTTGAATGCAATGAATGAACGTTTTTGTATCGTTAGACTCGTTGTAATGATTATTGCATTTGATTTTACCTTTTATATGAAAGTGTTTCGTATTTATAACGAAATGCTTGCGTTTTGTTATCTGTTAACATGTTATCTACTATTATGTAATATTCTGTTATATAATGTTTATAAGTTGATTTCATGCGTTGAAATATATTTTTCAATGTATAAGTTTAATGTAATAAATGTGTTTTAACATTGGTTGGCAATATTTTTATTATTAACAATTAAACGAGAGTAAGTCTCTACTTTATGTACACTAAATTGTAGATGTGCTCATCTCTCAAATACAGATAAAAAAAATTAAAACAATATTTGGCTTACAATTTACAAGTCTCTCTCTCTCTCTCTCTCTCTCTCTCT